CTCCCCTCGTTCTCTACGAACTTGGTGAGAGGTGCTGATCTACAGGATGGGGGGGTTGACCAGTTCACTCCTGCGAGTCAGCGGGTGACCCACTGTACGTGTGCTCGGACGGGCCGACACTTGGCCATGTTTACCCGTCAGCCGGGGTCGAGCCTGTACACACTAACTACTGAGGCTCCTCCTGTTGCTAAGTCTGGTCACGTAGCTGCGTCGAGTCAGGTGTTTGCTGCAGCGTCCAGGTCTTGTTCTGAGTCTGCTCCCTGCTCGTGTCGTCTCCTATCCCACCAGAATCTCCTTTGGCACCACCGCCTTGGTCACCCCTCCCTGCCTCGTCTCTGAGGCATGGCCTCCCGTGTCCTTATCTCTGGTCTCCCCCGGTCCCTCCCTTCGGGGCCTGCCCCTATCTGCGTTCCCTGCGTCGAGGGGCGGCAGTGCGCCGCCCCTCACTTCTCTGAGTTTCCTCCAACAGAGGCTCCCCTGCAGACTCTTCACATGGACGTGTGGTGCCCCGCCCGCGTCCGTGGCCAGGGTCACGAGCATTACTTCCTGTTGGTGGTTGACGACTACTCGCGTTACACCATGGTGTTCCCCTTGCGCAGCAAGGATGACGTCACTGAGGTGTTGATCGACTGGATCCGCGCGGCTCGTCTCCAGCTCAGAGAGAGTCTTGGCTCGGACTTTCCTGATCTGCGTCTGCACTCTGACAGAGGCGGGGAGTTTTCCTCTCCCCGCCTGGGAGCCTTTTTTCGTGCACAGGGCATCCGCTAGACCTTCACGCTTCGGGCCTCTCCACAGCAAAATGGGATTGCTGAGCGGCGCATTGGCATGGTCATGGACGTCGCTCGTACGTCCATGATCCATGCGGCTGCTCCCCATTTTCTGTGGCCGTTTGCAGTTCAGTACGCAGCGCATCAGCTCAACCTTCAGCCCCGGGTCTCATTGCCAGAGACCTCCCCCACCTTGTGGTGGACGGGGAAGGTTGGCGATGCGTCTGCGTTTCGTGTCCGAGGATCTCGGGCGTTTGTCCGCAACTTGTCTGCGGACAAGCTGACCCCCCGTGCTGTTCCCTGCGTCTTCCTTGGCTTCCCCCCTGACGCGCCTGGTTGGCAGTTTTACCACCCCACCTCGCGCCGTGTTCTGTCCTCCAAGGACGTCACCTTTGACGAGTCGGTGCCTTACTACCGTCTCTTCCCCTACCACACTGTGCCCCTCCCCCCGCCGCCGCTCTTCCTAGCGCCAGGTCCTCCCCCGGTAGACCCTCTCCCCCCTCCGGGTCCTGGCCCATCAGGTGTGTCCCTAGGTAGACACACTCGAGCTTGTCGAGGTAGCTCTTGACTCTAGTGCTGCTAGGGGTGCTGAGCCTGCGGGTGCCGGGTCTGGAGGTGCTGAGCCTGGGGATGCTGAGTCTAGGGGTGGTGAGCCTGCGGGTGCCGGGTCTGAGGTTGCTGAGCCTAGGGTTGCGGAGCCTGGGGGTGCTGAGCCTGGGGGTACGGAGCCTAGGGGTGGGGAGCCTGGGGGTGTTGGGTCTGCTCGTGTGGCCTCTGGCGGTGCTTCGTCGAGGCGGGAGCTACCCTCTCCGCAGGAGCTGTGCGAGTGCTTTGCCCAGCGAAGGAGATGGAGGTGTTACTGTTGCTGCTGGTCCTGGAGGTGCTCATACTGGGCGTACTGGAGCTGCTAGGACTTGGGGTGCTGCTGGGGCTCCTGGAGTTTGTCCTGCTGGAGGTATTGCTGGAGCTGCTGGCGATACTGGAGCTGACGGTCCTTCTTGAGCTGGAGCAGCAGTAGCTGGAGCCGCTGGAGGTGTTCCCGCTGGAGGTGCTACTAGGCGCTGGTGCTTCTGAGGGTGCTAGAGTTGGCGCTGTTGGAGCTGGAGGTGCTGCTCGCACTGGTGCTGCTGCTGGGGGTACAAGTGCTGTCCCTACTGGTTTTGGAGGCATTGCGCGGCCGCGGCCGTACTTTGTTCCGCTTCTTGAGCAGGTTCTTGGTCTCCCGCCCTCTTCTAGTCCTACTCCTCCCTTAGAGTGTCCACAGCCTGTCCAGTTGCAGTCACAGTTACAGCCCGCCTCCACCCTGCCTGCTCCTTCTCCCTACACTGGTCCTACTAGAAGTCTTGCAGAGCAGCGTGAGCTTGCATCTCGTCCTGCGTCGCGTGTTCGTGCTGCTCGCACTCGTAGTCGTGCTTCGCGTCCGCGTCCTCCTGCTGTCCCGGGCACACACCAGATGGCAGTGCATCATTCCACTGCTCCTCTGCGTGTCTCCTTGTCGTCTCCTCTAGAGTCCTCTCTTCTTGTCCTTGCTGACCCGGAGTCTGACCCTCTTCGTACTGTCTCGCGTCTCCTGGCTACTGTTGTCACTGACCCTTCCTTTGAGTCCACTGCTGCGTTTGCTTGGGTTGCTGAGCTTGTCGACTTTCTGCTCGCTGTCGTCTAGACTACGCCACTAGTCTCGTTGCAGAGTCTGAGTCTGCTTGTCCTCCGTCCGTCGAGGGTGAGTGTGCTCTGAGCACGGACGTCCTTGAGGACAGGCAGGAGGAGTTCCAGTGCTTTGGTGCTGCTTTGCCTCATCTCATGTCCATGCTGATTGCCCCAGCGGGAGACCCGGATGCACAAGACATCCCGACTCCTCGATCGTACGCTGAGGCGATCGAGGGTCCCTACTCCTCTCAGTGGCAGTCAGCCATGGACGCAGAGATGACTTCCTGGAAGTCCACAGGCACCTACGTCGACGAGGTTCCCCCACCTGGGGCAAACATCGTCAGTGGCATGTGGATTTTCAGGGTGAAGCGGCCGCCGGGTTCTCCGCTTGTCTTCAAGGCGCGTTACGTGGCTCGAGGCTTCAGTCAGTGACAGAGAGTTGACTACTTTTAGACCTTCTCTCCCAACCCAAAGATGACCACTCTTCGGGTGCTGCTGCACATAGCCGCTCAGCGCGACTACGAGCTTCACTCTCTTGACTTCAGCACAGCTTTCCTGCAGAGCAGCCTACACGAGGAGATCTGGCAGCGCCGCCCACCTGGCTTCACTGGGTTGTTTCCTTCTGGTACCCAGTGGAGCCTCCGGCGGCCAGTTTAGAGTCTCCACAAGGCGCCGCGTGAGTGGCACGACACACTGAGGACTACACTTGCGGCCTCTTGGGTTCGCTCCTTCTACTGCCGACCCATCGCTGTTTCTGCGCACCGACACCTCTTTGCCGCCGTTCTACATCCTCGTGTACGTTGACGACCTTGTCTTTGCCACCGCTGACACTGTTGGACTCGCCCACGTGAAGTTCGAGCTGCAGAAGAGACACACGTGCACAGACCTGGGTGAACTGCGCAGCTACCTTGGCTTGCAGATCACCCGGGACAGAGCACAGCGCACCATTACCCTGACTTAGTCACACATGGTACAGCAGGTCGTTCAGCGCTTCAACTTCACGTACTCCTCGCCTCAAGCCTCTCCTCTGTCTACTCGTCACTCGCTCTCAGCTCTGCCTTCGGATGAGTCCGTAGAGCCGAGTGGACCATACCCAAAGCTTGTTGGCTGTCTCATGTACCTGATGACCTGCACACGACCTGACCTTGCATACCCTCTTAGCATCTTGGCACGCTAAGTTGCTCCTGGGAGACAGCGACCAGAGCACATGGCTGCAGCAAAGAGGGTGTTGCGCTACTTGTGCAGTACGTCAGGCATGGGGCTAGTGCTTGGAGGGCGACGTCCAGTGGTCCTCACAGGTCACGCAGACGCTTCTTGGGCTGACGACCAGGCTATGCAGCGGTCGTCACAGGGTTACACCTTCAGCCTTGGGTCTGCCTCTGTTTCGTGGCGGTCTACCCGCTCGTCTTCTGTTTTCACCTCCAGCTGTGAGGCTGAGATCTACGCGGGGGCCATGGTTGCACAGGAGCTACGCTGGCTCACCTACCTGCTGACTGACCTAGGAGAGCTGCCTCGTTCTCCTCCAATTCTGTACGTAGACAGCAAGGCCATGCTGGCCTTCTGTCGGGAGCAAAGACTGGAGCACAGAACAAAGCACGTTGCTCTTCGCTACTTCCTTTCTTATTAGCTGCAGCAGCGTGGTCAGCTGCGCCTTGCTTACGTGGCCTTTGAGGCCAACACTGCTGATAGCTTTACCTAGACACTTCGGCCTTGTGATCATCAGCGCTTCTGTACGATGCTAGGTCTGTCAGAATGTTATCTTATGCTCTAGCCTGTAGTGGGGTGCTCTATAGTGAGTACAACCCTTCTAGGGTTTGCTATTTGTATCCTCATTCCTGCTAGTTCAACCCTCCTCTTCTTTCTTCTAACTTCTCACAAGGTCTTGTGCCTACTTGGCTCACTTGCTCACTTCTTGACCTTGCTTGTACTGTGATCTTTCTATACCTGCACTTGCTTGTTTACCTTTATATATGATCTTGCATGTGAACTGGCCTTGTGGCCTTGAACTTGTGCTCGGAATGTGTGGTGACGTTGTGATCCACCCTGAGCTTGCTTTGCTTTGCTTGACTGGTTTTGTGACCTCTTGTTCTCCCCCACTTTGCCTATGGGGTGTGTCAAACGTATATGCTATGGTCTATCTAGGCTGTAGTGGGGTAGACACTATAGGGTACAACATTTTTCCTCATTTTTTCACACTAACTAGGCTTTAATTAGGAGATGGTTAGCTGTATGTCCGTGTAGACGTGCGGTTGTGCGGACGTGCTGTTGTATGTACTGTACATTTATAATGACGCATTTTGAAATACACCGATGGAGGTTGGTTGTGCTGTTTCGACGTGCGCTGTGCGATGCTGTATTTAGTGTGCAACGTGCGGTCGTTATTCAGAATCGTTAGCAAATGAAATTTCGTTTAGACACACCCATAACTCCCATTTGATCAGGTCGATTCGACCAATCACCAACATGAAACCCTATCAAAATATCTGGAAAGATGAAACGCGGTTTGGCCACGTGGCATGGGAACAAAAAGTTGACGAGAAGTGACGAGAACATCACTTCACCGGTCACTTTTCAGTGACTTTCCGTATGAAATTTCGGGAATCTAACGTGACATTTCCGTGACTTGAGTTTTTGGTACTTCTGACAATGACTTTTCCGTCAAGCAAAAAATTCACGGAAAAGTCACATAAAAGTTACATTTCTGTGACTTTGGGCCCTTCACATTTCCGCGATGCTGCATGAACCACCCGAGCTGCTTGGAGGGCAGCGTGCTGGTGCGAGCAGTCGGCCAAAACGGCGACTTCAACCTCAACTTCGCCGCGTGGGACAGAATCGTCGGCGACTGGGCCGCGGGGCGCGTGGAGATCGATTACCGCAGCGTGGACTGCCCTAGCAACGGCGGCCTGAAGGTCAGATTGGTCGACGATAGCAACTCGTACAACTTCGCGCTTCAGATTCTCGAAGCGGCAGGGAGCGGCGGCATGGAGAGCGTGGAGCTGTCGAACGACGGGTCGCAGTGGGCGAGCATGACGACGTACGGATGGGGCGCCACGTGGGTGCTGAATCCCGCCAAGGACGTCGTCGATGCGGGGCGCCCCGTGAGCGTGCGCGTGACGGGCGGTGGGAGCCAGGTGGTGTTGCAAGACGTCATTCCGAGCGACTGGAGTGCCGGGACGACATACGAGAGCGGCACCAACTTCTAAGAGAAGTAGTCGCGAGATGGGTGTATGGGTGCAACGGTTGCTGCTAATAACGGGACACCCTGTAACGAGGTGGTGCGGCGTACAAGATGGCAAATCATGCAGCTACTGGTGTGCAAGACAGCGAATAAAAGGCGGGCCAGCCCCTGTGAAGGTGGATGGGTTGAGGCTAGCCCTATAGAGTGATCCGATGAGATGCTAGAAGTAATTGCTCATTTGACTAGTATTTTACTCTTCTGCTAGTAATTGATCTTTGAATTACAGTCAAATGAGAGCGGTACACTACACGCACAGAGAAACGTTTCATACGAAAAGTGAAGACACATCTTTCAGGTGTCCCAAGAATATTAGAGACCTTAACATCAATGACAAAATCTTTCCTTGGAAACTAAAAATGATTGCGTTTCACTATGCGAAGTGCATGTTGTGAAAAAAGTGACGTTATTTACACCACTTTCTACAAATGGCTGCAAATGCCAATACCTGCATGCGAACACTTACGGTATTGAGAGGCTTAGGTTTGTGGAAAGTATCAACATGCACCTCCACTCTACTCCCTTCCCAACTCTCCTTCCTCCCTTTTAAATCCGCAGGCAACTTCTACTTTCCCCTGACATCACTAAGTACCGTATTGAATGCCCTCAATACGCGCCAGCTCCAGGCTGAAGTCGACCTGCTGAGAGCTCTCAATCTCGTGGTCGATGCGGGCAGCCATGCGGTCCTCGTCCTCCCCGAAGAACTCCTCCTTGAGCAGCAGCAGCTCTGCCAGCACACGGCTCATGCCCGGGCGAGACGCCGTGGGCATGGCAGTGCAGGAGAGCGCCAGGCGTGCCATGCGCAGCACCAGGTCGTCCGGTGCTTGCAGGTGCGGGTCCTTGAGGGCCGCCACGTCCCCTGCTGCCACCAGCGATGCTGCCTGTTAGTGGATCAATGGGGGGAAGAAAGGAAGCAGGGGAGGGAAGAGGCAGAGGAGAGGAAGGGAGAGTGAAAATTCTTGGCAAGGAGGAACGGAATGAAACCAGATCATGGTAGGGGAAGACAGACAAGTTTGATTTTTTCAGGTCATTGGATGTTGGTGCGAGACTGACCCACTGCTTGAGGTTGACTTGGTTTGACTCGATGTTGTAGATGGCCTTGCGAGCCGTGATCACCGCCAGCATCACCTACGCCGAAGCTGCAGGCAGGACAGGAAGCATGGCAGCAATGAACGGGCAGCGGGGAAGAAAAACAGCAGGCAGCAGGGAAGGGGAGCAAGGAACATAGCGGGGTAAGGGAACAAGGTAGTAGCAGGGAAGGGGAGCAAGGTAGTCAGCAGGCATCACCACGCCGAAGCTGCAGGCAGGTGGGAATTAAGGCAGCGATGACGGCAGCAGAGTAGAAAAACAGCAGGCTGCAGGGTAAGGGAACAAGGCAGGCAGCAGGGAAGGGGAGTAAGGCAGGCAGCAGGGTCAGGGAACAAGGCAGTCAGCCTTGGGAGTAACCTTGTGAGAGTGGTAATAAGCAGGATCTACGCAGCCTGGTGTGCCCATGACGGAGTGTTTCCTAGAATTCTAAAGAACACGTGAACACCATATAATCCCGCACCATGACGTAGTGTTTCCTATAATTCTAAAACACGCGCAAGTACCATATCATCCACACCTGTGCACGTCGGCCTTGGGAGTGGCCTTGTGGGAGCGGTAGTAAGCGGGGTCCACATAGCCCGGCGTGCCCATGACGCGCGTGGCGGCCACAGATGTACCTTCCCCAAGTCGCACCAGCCCAAAGTCAGCGAGCTTGGCGTGCATGCGCGCGTCCAGCAGCACGTTGGCGGGCTTGATGTCGCGATGCACAATGCTGAAGCCGTGCAGATACTCCAGCCCGCGCGCCATGCCCGTGAGAATGCCCAGCCGCTGCTGCATCGTGAGCGGGTGGGGTGCGCCTGGGAGGAGAGGATATGGCAGTGGGGGGTTGGGCAGCTGGGTGAGTCTAGGAATGTAACAAAAGCCTCGTGCTGCAATGCATTGCATCCTCCCAGGTTGGTAGAATGGATCGTACAGAAGCAATTATTTCAATGAGTGTCTAGAGCTGGAAAAGGACAGATTGTAGGAACTAAGGCAGTCACAAGGAGTTAGGCCATGCACGTTTATCACAGAAACGACGCCTCTGGCTTAAGGATTGACCCAGAGTTGATGAGAACAATGCAGACATGACATGATGCTCAAGACGAGACACTCTTTCAAACATTTTTTGCTGTGTTTGACGACTATAGTAACAACATTGATATAGATACTGTTACACGACCAATCCACCTGCTATATGCAAACCAGCAAACCGCCTTGGCTCACCGGGTCCAATCCAGCGGTCTGCCTACTTCACCAGTGGATTTTCCAATCCACCCACTGTTTTCTGTGGCTTCTCAATTTGTCTCAAATCAGACCGTATCGGCTCAGCTCACCGGCTCCGATCCAGCGGTCGAGGTCGCCGTTGGCCATGAACTCATAGACCACGATCTGCTCCATGCGCTCCGCCTCGTAGCTCATGTCAAAGCAGTACCCCAGCAGCCTCACCAGGTTCGGATGGCTCTTGGTCGCCATCTCGTTGATCTGCCCGGCCTGTGGTGGGGTGGGTGGGAGGAAGCAGGCCAGCTCCTGAGAATTCTCAGAACAAACCTCTCCAGCTGCCGTACCAGGTTCGGATGGCTCTTAGTCGCCATCACACTGATCTGCAGGGACGTGGGGTGGGAGGGGCAGGGGGTTGGGGGGAGAGGGGGAGGGGGGGGGAAGCAGGCTGGCTTTTGATGATTCTCAAAACCAACTATCGCTGCAGGTTAGGGAGCAGCCGCACCAGATTCGGACGGCCCTTGGTTGCCATCTCGCTGATATGCAGGTCGGTTGTGTGGGAGGAAGCAGGTTCGGGGTAAGCAGGTTGGGGGAAAGAAGGCTGGGAGGAAGCAGGTTCGGAGTAAGCATATTGGGGGAAGCGTGTTGGGAGGAAACAGGTTGGGGAAAAGCAGGATCCCTCGCTTATTCCCCTGTAGCCCATACCAATGTAAGGTAAGATATGCTTGGAATTCTCCGAACTAGATACTTCTGAGATTACCAAGCCAAAGCAACACATGGCAGGGAGTCTCACCTGTTAAAGGAAGTCGTTGATAAGTACGCAGGCTCACTTTGAGGATTCATAAAGCCAATGCAACACAGGGCAGGCCGGCTCACCTCGCGTCGGAAGTCGTTGGTGAGCACGCGGGCTCGCTTCACAGCCCACACCTCCTTGGGGTTCCGCGGATTCACCCCCCTGTACACATCGCCAAAGCTGCCGCTGCCTATGCGGTTGCTCTCTGCCCACCCCCCCGTGGCCCGAGCCATCTCCTCAAGTGAGAATCGCTGGCACACGTCTGGCCCAGCACCCGCTGCAGCACGCAGCAGTGGCTGCGCTGCCAGCTCTGGTGCTGCCACTGCCACTGCAGCCGCTGCTGCAGCGGCTGCTGCTGCAGCGGTTGCTTCTTCTGTTGCCCCTGCTGCTTCTGGTGCTGCTGATGGCCGTGCATGGGGCGAAGATTTGCTTGATCCCCTCTGAACTCCTGCTTGAGCCACCTTTGAAGCTGCTGCTGCTGCTGCTGCTGCTGCTGCTGCTTCTTCTTCTTCCGCTGCCATATTCGATGAAGAGGATATGTCAACAACCACCTGCCCTGCCACCACCCCAGCTTCTGGTGGTGCTGCTACGGCTGCTGCTGATGCTTCTGATGCTGCTGCTGCTGTCTTCTGCTCATTACCTGCCCCAATCAACTCTGCTTCTTTCTCTGCCGAGGGTGCTGATGTGATCACTATGGGAGGCAGCTTGACCGGTGGTTCTGTGACACGTGGCAAGGGATATTCCTTGGATGCTGCTGCTGCTGCTGCTGCTTCTTTCGCTGCCATAGTCGATGCAGGGGGTATGTCAACAACCACCTGCATTGGGACCACCCCAGCTGCTGTTGCTGCCACTGTTGATGGTGCTGCTTCTGCTGCTGATAATGATGCTTCTGGTGCTGCTGCTACTGCTGTATTCTTCTTATTAGCTGCCCCGGCCAACTCTGCTTTTTTCTCTGTTGTAGGTGCGGATGAGATTTCTATGGGCGGCAGCTTGACCGGTGGTACTGTGACACATGGCAATGGATACTCCTTCGGTTGCCACGTAGACTTGAGGGGTTTTCTTGCAACCCCTACGACGGGTTTGGGCCAGAAAACATCATATCCAGCATTCCTCATAAAAGCGAAGCTATCCAGCAGCCCATACCATAGGTTTCGAGCGCCGAGAAGCCAGACCAGAGTGATGGTCAGCAGTATTACACCAAGCACAATCCCGGATGCAAGGGCCCCGGCATCATAGGCTTCCATAGTTAAAGCCTCTGTTGCGGACAGCAGATCTGCTGCATGAAACGCCTCTGGCACTGGGCGGGTGAGAAGGTTGAGGTGTCTGGAATGGCGGGGCAAGGGTCCTGTGTGGTCAGCCCGCAATGATATGTTTCCCTTGATATTCGCTCCGCGGGAATTATGGCCTGGATGCGAATTGATTGTGGTTTGTGGAGGCACGGGAGGGAGGGAGGGAGGGAGAGAGGGAGGGAGGGAGGGAGGGAGGGAGGGAGGGAGGGAGGGAGGGAGGGAGGGAGGGAGGGAGGGAGGGAGGGAGGGAGGGAGGGAGGGAGAGAGGGAGGGAGGGAGGGAGAGAGGGAGGGAGGGAGGGAGGGAGGGAGGGAGGGAGGGAGAGAGGGAGGGAGGGAGGGAGAGAGGAAGGGAGGGAGGGAGGGAGGGAGGGAGGGAGGGAGGGAGGGAGGGAGGGAGAGAGAGAGGGAGGGAGGGAGAGAGGGAGGGAGGGAGGGAGAGAGGGAGGGAGGGAGGGAGGGAGGGAGGGAGAGAGGGAGGGAGGGAGGGAGAGAGGGAGGGAGGGAGGGAGAGAGGGAGGGAGGGAGAGAGGGAGGGAGGGAGAGAGGGAGGGAGGGAGGGAGAGAGGGAGGGAGGGAGGGAGGGAGAGAGGGAGGGAGGGAGGGAGGGAGGGAGGGAGGGAGGGAGGGAGGGAGGGAGGGAGGGAGGGAGGGAGGGAGGGGAGGGAGGTATAAAGGGAGGGAGGGAGGTATAAAGGGAGGGAGGGAGGTATAAAGGGAGGGAGGGAGGGAGGGAGGGAGGGAGGGAGGGAGGGAGGGAGGGAGGGAGGGAGGGAGGGAGGGAGGGAGGGGAGAAAAGAATTGAGAAAAGAATTGAGGAAATTATGGTGAAGAAAAAAGAAAGGAAGGATCCGAAATTTGGGTAGGAGGTCTTCCAGCTCGAAGATGCATGCTGAACGAAAATCATTGCCCTAAATCAGCACTTCGAGGGATGGTAGTCCCCTTCTCATCATTTGCAGTGGCGCTGGCATCGATGTTAACTATACTGCAGGCAATGCGATTTCAGGAGCTCCGAGAGTGAAACTGTAACCAGAAAGTTTCGTCACTGAATGGCGAAGGAGACGCGTTTTGTTAGAATATAGATAATGAAGCTGGACCTACCGTAAATCCGTTCGTTCAGCCTGAAAGCTATTCAGAGCTGTTTGAAAGCTGGCGGCATGTCCGAAGCGAAAACTAAATGAATTGTAATTAGCTTGTGGAGCGCTGGTCAGCAATCTGGTGGAAAGGCCTGTGAAGGAGGGAGAGAAGAGCGAAGGAATATAAGTTGAGTGACAAATGAAGCATGAAAGAATGGTCAGGCTCAGCAGTTGAAAGATGGAGAGGGGGTGAGAGACTGAGCGAACTACCTCAGTTCGTAAAGAGATGGCGAACATGTAACTTGGGTTTCGGACGGGAGAATGGAGGCTCACGAAACTTGGAAGTCAGTTACCATGCCAGCAGACTCGCGAATATCTGTGCCTTGCTGGTGAGTGACAACGTGGCACGGCTGGTTGGTCGGGCAAATGCTTTCACGAAGAAATTGTGGGAGAATTTGTGGGATTGAACTCGTTAGGGATGAGGTGGCATGTTGATGACGATATCCGAGTGCGTTGACGAGCTTGACGGTGAGTGAGCAGGAATCACGACCTGAATTGACTAGATAATGAACAACAAAAACAAGATACAGAGAATGTGTACAGAAACAACCTTTTGGAAGCCGAGAGCAGCTAAAACAAGTATTCATTCAACCAGAGTGTTACGGGTGCAATGAATCTAAGTACCGTAAGCCCCCGGATAGAAGCGCAGGCCTCGGATAAGCGCCGGCGCTTATAAAAGGATGAGGGCGCTTGTATCCGGTCCTCGATTATAAGCACACCCCTAAAGGCTTACGGATTATAAGCGCCACCCTCTGAATTATTTTTAATATTTTTACTGGAAACGCTGTAACGAAACACATTTTTTACATCCCCACATTCAGAAATTCGAATCCCTTCACCATCTCGCGACTCAATGCCTTCGCCTCCGGTCAGAATGACCTGTCATGGGGTCAATCTGACTCATTCTGACTGTGCATGTTGGCAGAGAATCAGCCACTGCCAATTTACGCGAGATTCACATTCTAGCCCTCTACAACATCAATTCGATTCAAATCGCAAGGACGAGATGAACACTTTGGTGTAAAAAAACTAGATTTCATATATGTCATTTTATAAGCCCCGGCGCTTATAGAAATCATTAATTATAAGCCCACCCCCTAAAAAACATTGTTTTTTTATAACCCCAAGGGCGCTTCTATAGTGGGGCTGACGGTAGCGAGAATTGCACTGAGGGCGTATTCCTAGCTTCGTGTCATCCTGGCTTTATGTCATCCGAAATTGTGGGATCGAATAGGTAAATTCAAAGCTCCAAACCTGGGTTTCCCGATTGGCTTCCACAATTTCGGATGACACAAATGTTGGGAACAAACAATCTTAAGCGCCTCTTTCGAGTCGAAACACCAAGACACAAACGAAGCAGTGCATATCGAGACACCAGCGAGTCAACCCTCGGAGGTTGATGTAACCGCTGGAGGTTACGCGAAAGTCAAAGGTCAGCGACCTTTAACCTGACAAATGCAGCGCGACAGCAAGGACACACAACTGACTCGACATTGAGCAGTTGCCCGAGTTGCACTGTATCGAACCGCGACAGTAAACTAGTTATAATTATGTCTCTTCATATTCTCTGTATTCATATATATATTCTTGTATCTCTTTGCTTTAATCAACTTACTTTGCCCTCACATACTAGCGCAAGGTGGTTCAAGGACTTTACTTAAAACGCTTCCGCTACTACATCACTTTACTCAGACTTTAACTCTACCAAAGATCCTAAAGGGTACTCAGCCCAACATGGTATCAGAACAGGTTAGAGTTCAAATTGTTTCTCCTCAACACCTAATACACCAAGAGACATGTCTACTAGATATGAGAGGAGCTCCTCCAACGGCTCTTCTGGCACTATTCCTACTCCACCTCCTGCCTCTAGCCTACAGACACAGGAAGGGACAACAACGATGTTGGGCTGAAACGCCCTAGGATCTTGTGAAAGATAAGAGAACAGGAATGAAATAACTAAGTCAGAGTTGGGTACAAATACAACCCTAGAAAGCTATACCCCATATGTGCTACCCCACTATAGCCTACAAACATGCATCAGTTATAATACTCTGACACACCCCCATAGGCAAAGTGGGGGAGAACAAGGGGTCACAAGACCAGTCAAGCAAAGCAAAGCAAAGCAAGCTCAGGGTGGATCACAAAGTCACCACACAGTCCGAGCACAAGAGCAGGGCTAGAAGCCAGTTCACATGCAGGAGGACAGACATATATATAAAACTAAACAAGCAAGAGCAGGTATATATATATGTCACAGTACAAGTGAAGTCAAGAGGAGAGCAAGTGAGGCAAGACAGGCACAAGACCCAGCTGGG